GAAAATAAAACAAAACTACTACTACTACTACACCTACTACTACTCCTACTAATATTACTACTACTACTACTACTACTACTACTCCTACTACTACTATTACTACTAGTCCTACTACTACTCCTACTACTACTCCTACTACTACTCCTACTACTACTACTACTACTATTACTGCTGCTGCTACTGCTACTACTACTACTACTACTACTACTACTACTACTAAACTAGTACTCCTAATACTACTCATACTACTACTACTACTACTAAACTAGTACTCCTACTACTACTCATACTACTACTACTACTACTACTACTGCTGCTGCTGCTGCTACTGCTGCTACTACTACTACTTAATCATAATCAATACTACAATTACTACACGTAGCAATGGTTGTGTGTGATGTCACATTTAATTTATCAGCAATAAACGCTGGCCAATAAGAATTGAGTATTCTCGCAATGACGTAAAACACCTTTGTATTGGTGTATGTACGTTTGTATGTATATATGTAGGTATGTTTGTATGTATGTATGTATGTATGTTTGTATGGATATGTGTGTGTGTGTGCATGCATGTATGTATCTGTGTTTGTAGAAATGTACTTATCTCTAGTTTGTGTTCGATTAATAAAAATTTATGCACGAAACGTAAAATCAGCAGCAACAGCAGCAACGATGGGGGCGACAAATCATCGCCACCATCATCATCATAATCATCATCACAATATAAACAGACACCATGTTACATTATATATCTTTAAAACGTTCGTTCATTCTCGTTGGAAATGTCCCTCTACTTGCAAACTACCATCAATAATTCAACGCTCTGAAACCTCCACATAATTTTTTTTTACTTTGTTGACTAACTAAACAAAAAACACGGCACATTTATAATTCAAAAGCATTTTGTTGTATACTTATGTATGTATGTTTGTATGTGTGTATGTGTGCCTGTGTATGTATGTATGTGTGTGTTTGTTTGTATGTATGTATGTATGTATGTACGTATGTATGTTTGTATGTCCCTTACGATGATTAACTAGGCACTGATGGGGCTGTAATCATTGTCAGGTTCTGCTATACTCTAATGTTATTGCGTCAGGCATAGAAAGGTTATTTAAAGCCCCATCAAGTATACAAAAGGAAGTAAATTTTTGGAGTCGAATCGATAAATATATATTCTTCAATGTAGTTTTTATCTAAAGGGTTTGCTGGTATTAAGATAATTTTATTAATAAGTTGGGTATTTTTTCAGTCGGTCCGAAGGTTTCGATGCATATTAGTTGAAAGATTTTAGAGTCATTGAGAGTAGCATACTTAGAAATTTCTTGGCCTTATGCTTTTAAGACCGCTGTGCCTGCCCCAACCGATGTGGAACATTCATTACAGTGCATCATGTTAATACGAAATATTGTGTTATTAAACGATAAAAGAATATTCATCATATAGGGACTTACCTTTTGGCTGAAAAAATTCTTATCTGATATACATAACTATTCACTTAATTAATAATAATAATAATTTTATATATTTATAAATTCATTTAATTATTTAGCTATTTATATCAAGTTATTAAACGTCTAATTTATCCAAACATCACTAGCAATTATCTGTAAATTCGTTTTTGTATAAATTTGTATATGTTAATTACAATTATTATTAATAATTTTATTATTAATAATAATTTTATTATTGTTGGTATAATTTTAGTCCACTCTTAAATAGCAAACCAACCTACTGCCAACCAAGTGAGAACGAGATGACGCTATGTGTGCATGCATGTACGTATGTGCGTATGTATGTATGCATGTATGTACGTACGTATGTATGAATGTATGCCGATATTGTATGTGTGTATTTTTGAATGTATGTATGGTTTTTGCTCTGTCTTTTATCTGAATATCAGCAAATTCATTTGTATTTTTCACTAACTAATTATTGTCAACTATGATTTTTTCATTTGGTAGCGCGCCTGAACAGAGCTTCAGTTGGAGCTAAGAAAGTTTTCTGGAAATAATCAGCTCAGCTCAGCTCAGCTCGGCGCTTAAAGCGTAGCGTAGAAATAATGGTGACTATGTGCTTGCGTGCACAAATTAGGAGATCTCCTTGAATTCGATACTGGTTACTGCTCAAAAAGCTATGCTATCCATCCTTTTTTTATTCTCTCTCTTTTTCTTTCTCTTTCTGTCTGTTTGTTTCTCTCTCTCTCTCTTTCTCTCTCTCTCTCTTTCCCTGCCTATCTTACTGTTTCTCGCCCCCTCTTCTACAAACAAATACTTCAACTACTAAACTACTACTTTTGCTACAGTTACATCTATAACTAATCGTCCTTTTTTTCTCTGTCTGTCTTTTTCTCACTCTCTCTTTGGATTATCTTATTTCTCTTGTTCTTTCATTTTCTCTTTTCTTCAAGCGCTTCTACAGCTACTGCACCTGCAGCACCTTGAGCCACAACCGCAAAAACGCCAACGACACATTGTAGATGAATAGCTCAGATAAACCCTACTTCCAATCTAATATAAATCTGTCGCCCATGTCGCCGCGATTGTCGTCACACACACCCACACTGTATAAAGATTAAAAGAATGAATGTATATATGTATTGAGATGTGAATTTATACACGGATGGATGTACGAAAGGAAAAAATAAATAGATGGACGGATTAACGAATGAAAGAATGAATGAACGAATGAATGGATGAATGAATGGATGAATGAACGAATGAATGGATGAATGAATGGATGAATGAACGAACGAAATGAATGAATGAATGAATGAACGAGCGAAATGAATAAATGATAATTGGATGAAAAAATAGATGAATTACAGAAGGAAAAAAACTAGATAAAAATTATGAAACTTATATTGAGAATCCGATATTAACTGGTGAATAATTCAGAACATAAGTACGGCTTCAGACAAACCTTAAAATTAAACCTAAAACATACACACACACACACACCACACACGCACGCACACACAAATAGAGGCATATTTATATACAAACAAACATACAAACAGATACATACACGCATACGCAACAAGACGCAAAAAAGCAGAAAGCAATTTTTTTCCAGTACGTTTCAGAATTTGTAGGGTAAACATTGCTTAAGATAGAAACTAATAGATCAATGTTTTGTGGCTAATAATAATAATAATAATAATGGTAATAATAATGGTCATCATTATCACCATCGTCGTCATCATCACTGAAATCTACACGTTTCCAAGGTTTATTAAATTTTCAAAACTTATATCTACAAATTGATTTACTACTACTACTGCTGCTGCTGCTTTTACTACTACTACTACTACCGCTACTCCTACTGCTACTTTTACTACTACTACTGCAAGTAAAAGTAGTAGTAGTAGTGGTAGTAGCGATGCTATTTATAGAGGTTGATGGTTTATCCAACGCAATATAAATGTCCACATGTCATTAAGTTTGACATTAATTCCTGCTTGCATATTGTTTTTGTTTGCTTTGCTACTTATATTATTATTGCCGTTACTGTCGCTACTACTGCTACTGCTACAACTACTAGTACTGCGGCTAATATATCATATCAACTTTTCTAACACTAATACAATGATTCTACACTTCAATATTTTCACACACATACACACGCGCGCACGCGCACACACTTACATACATACACATACATACAAATATTATATAAAGACACACATACATACATAAAAAACACTTACGTACACACACGTACGAACGTAAATGAAAGTGGACACAATATTGACAGACCCATTAGCATGACCTTTAACCTCATGATGTGTGTGACCTATATAATAATAACAATAATAATAATAACAATAATAATAATAACAATAATAACAATAATAATAATAATAATGTCTTTGTACAACGTAAGCCAATGTTATTGTTGAAGCATATCAATATCATCATTTTCATCATCACCACCATCATCCCATCATCACCATCTTCCTCATCATCGTCGTCTTCTTCATTTTCATCATTATCATCACCATGACTGGCTTCTTCAGAGAAAGTCAGAGGATTTGTTTTATTATCAGTTTCCTGATCTCAGGCAAACACATATTGCGTTTGTATGTGTTTGCATGTATGTATGTATGTATGTATGTATGTATGTATGTATGTATGTATGTATGTATGTATGTATGTATTTACGTAAGTATGTGTGTGTATGTATGTGTATGTATGTGTATGTATGTAAGCGTGTCAAGAAATCAATTGTGCACCTATCTTTGCATACAAAATCTGACCTGATAGAAGCATCTGTTCCCAACAAAAACAACTGCAGCAATAATGACACACATACATACATACACACACATACATACATACACACACATACATACATACACACACATACATACATACACACACGTATATACACACACACATATATATATATATCGATACACATACATATACACACTCGATAATGAAGAATAATATCTTTCAAACTTAAATTACCTATCAAAAATATCAATAACATGATACCTCAACAGCATGTCAGCAATTTTCCTTCGACCTTGAATCCTATCTTAAGTATCCTGATACATACATGTATATATATATATATATATATATATATATATATATATATATATATATATATATATATATTAATATACACACGTACACACACTTATGTACACACACTTATGTACACACACATACATAAATATACATTTACATATATACAACGTTGATTAATGTTATATTTATCTTCTTATTGATTTATAAATCTTCATCAGCTAACGCGTACAAGCTTGAGTTATAATCTATATAACGACTTCTCCGTTGTAAATCATCCTAAATGTCATATAGATACTTAGAGATTGTTCTTAACCAAAGAAGTAACATATATACACCACAAAACATACACACACACACACACACACACACACATACACACACATACATACAAAGATACACACACACATATACAAAGATACACACACACATATACAAAGATAAACACACACATACACAAGAGTAATTAATTCGTAAATAATCGTTTATTAGTCAACAAAATTATCAACTATTCAATGCATGGATACAGGGCTTGAATGATATTTTGTCGACGAGCAGTTCATATACTAAAATCCAAATATATAAAAATTCACGTATCAAAAAATTGATAATTCCAATAAAATATTATCAATTGTATAATGAAATTTATAAAAATATCTCTTTAAAAATGATAATTCATCTGCAAGAAAGTAAGAATAAGGAACAATAAATTCGTTCGTAAAAAAAAGTGAGAAGCTTCGAAATTCAATGGCTGGAGATGAGACGCGCACACACACACACACACACACACACACACACACACACACACACACACACACACACACACACACACATACACAAGTAGCGATGAAATTATTAATAACTCACAAATTTCAAAACATATACACATACACACTCCTCTGCTTTTAACATGAAACTATGGGTGAAAATATTTTGTAAAAAAAAAAAAAAAAGAATTTTAGAATAAAATATTTTGATTTTTACTTCTGAGTTCTATCCAATATAAACAGAGAATAATAAAAAAGACAAATGATATGAGAGTAAACAAATATATATTATTGACTATTCCTGCATATATAACAATATAAGTAGTGTGTGTGTGTCCGTTGTTGTTGTTGTACCTTAGGTAGAGGATTGATTCAATTTAGCTACAAACAGCTCAGTGTAAAGTATGAATGAGAAAACAAGAACTAAACAATACAGTGGCTGAAAACACAATTAATGAAGAATTATCTGTAAAAAAAAGAGCTGTCTTTAGTACATTGATAGTACATTGAAATATATTCACCAAATTATACTATTTGTGTAAGATGATTTTAGCTGGCATGATTGTGTTAAAAAAAGAAAAGCTGAATATAATTTAAATCAGTCAAATGCCTACAACTTAGCATCATTATCATTGTTTGTTGCATCAGCACTGACATTGTTATTATCCTCATTGTCATCTATGGAGAATGCATTTTGGTTTTCGAGCTCTCTATAAGAGAACTTTCCCTCGTTACTTGCTGTGCCCTCTCCAACCCAGCCACTATTTCTCGACAGCCCCACATTCATGGCCCTCGGATATCTATCTGAGTTCCTCTTCCGGTACCACAGAACACCAAAGACAATGATTACAGCTAAAACAACTAGGAATATGAGTATGAAGATGGCGAGAGTCACCTTGTACATTCGTTCGTCATCCGACACGCAGGGTTTGAACAAGGTTGATGATGCTGTTATGAAGGTAATGTTTTCCGGAGAAGTGCATCTGGAAAATAGATTAATTTTAATTTAAATAATTTGTATAAAAGTGAATATTTTAAATCCAGAAAAAAGGAAATTTGAAAATTAATAGAATGTAAACCAACATTGATGCATTGAATTTCATTGCATTTTTGACTCTATTGTTCTCAAACAGCCATGCATTATCACAGTTGGAACAGTTCAAAAAATTGTCATGCATGATTAGGTTGAATCCAAGTGAGGTCTCCACTTCAAAATCTGGCAAGGCCTTCCTCCTGATTACCATCAGCTGGTTGTATGAAAGGTCCAGATGTTCCAAGGAGTTCAAGTTTTTAAAACATTTTGGTTGAAGCTCGTTTATTTGATTACCACGCAAATTCAAACTTCTCAAACTCTTTTTAACTGGTTCAAAGTTGAGACTAGAAACTGTTGAAAGTTTATTACCCTCTAAATTTAATTCTTCCAAATTGGGAGTGTATTTTAAAAAACTTTCATGCAACTCTCTGATCCTATTTGAGCCCAGCAGCAAATGTCTCAATGAATGTAACTGCCCATTAGATGTTCCTAACGTTTCTGGTTCATCAATTTTATTACCGGTTAAATTCAAAACTGCAAGGTTGCCCATGCCATTGAATGAGCCAGCCTCAACTTGAAAAATCTTGCAGCCGTCCAAATGGAGAATCTGGAGAGATGGAAGCAACTCGAAGGTGAATACGTTGTGTAGGATGATGAATATCCTATTCATCTGCAAGTTCAAAACTTCCAAATTTTTCAACCCACTGAATGAGAATTCATTCAAGTTGACGATGTCGTTGTACGACAGGTCCAAGTAGTTTAGTTGTGTGAGATTATGGAAGGCATAGTCAGATATGAGATTAATGTTGTCATGCATTAACTCCAGACGATTTAACTCATAATAGCGATCAAAAACTGGCAAAATTTTGAATGTATCGTTATTTATGATTAGGCTACGTAATGGTCCCAGAAAATTAGGAATAGTTGCCAGTGAGGCATTTGAACAGACAACTTCCAACAATGTTGTTGTTGATGCATTGGAATTGTCAAACTTCTTACACGAACATTTCAGTTGCGTCGCGTTCTGACAAAGTTCTGTTTCCAACTTTGGCTGACAAAAAATCTTTGGATAAAAAATATTTGCAGTAAAAACAAAAATCGCTAATTTAAAAAACGGACACGCCATTTTGAAGCCGAAAATAAATTAATAATGTCAATTACTAAAACTATTTTATGTTCGGCAATCTCAAATAAATATGAAAAGTTTCAAATGAAGTTTTCAAATTTGAAATTAACGCAGAATAAAACTTCAAATCTTATTTATAACAGGCATTAAAGAAGAAATCTACGGCAAACTTAACTTTTAACTTGATAACTTTTAAACAGTTAATATAAAAAGATGTTATGCTACTACCGTAACCGGATATATCGGTAAACATATCAGATAAATGTATTAGATTGTTTAATCCGACTTACTTTTCGTGAATAAAATTTAATTTAAAATCCATAAAATTCCATCGTCAAGCCAATTCAATCAATTATCAGAGAAGTGAGAATATAATTATTATAATTATAATTTTGCTATCTACCATCAATGGCGACCAGCTGATTAATTGTGGATGTATCGTATCCATAACAAATTAAATGCTGTTGTTGTCTAAGGAAGATCGATTCGTAATTATTAATTATTTCATCCAATTCTTATGCAATATTCGATCATAATTATTATTTATTAAAAATTTAAAAGAATTGGTCATTGGTCAAAAGATTGTCTCTAACTAAATTCTAAATTGTGATTTTGCCTTGCTTTTTTTTAAAAGGCTGTTTTCAGTGGTTTGAGACTTTGCTTGAGCTTGACTCTCTTCCTCTTGACTTGATTGAGTAGTTTTAATTAAATTAAATCAAAATTATTAAAATAAATAAATTAAATTAATTACAGATCACAATTAAATGAATGAATCAAAGATTGAACCTTACCAATGTTACATTATTAATTAATTTAATTTTAACCTAACTAAATTAAACTCTATTATAATATTATCTTCTAATCAAATCAATTTCAATTTTACATAAATTATAAATAATTATTATTTCATATTAATTGCGGGATAATATAAGAAAGAGTTATAATTAAAAATTAAATAATAAATAAACATGGAAGAAGAACAGGAAAATATTTTCATTGATAAGTTTCATGCTCAGTTCATGATGAAAAAGATGGAGGAGTATTTTGATAGCCAGATAGTTAGTTATGTTTTTTTAACATTTTTATATTATTCATATTTTCAAATATTAAATAATTAAAATATTATTAATTCTTTTTAATTAATTTATAATTTATTAATAAGTAATAAACTTGAATAAGTTATAATCTGAAAAAATTATTTTTCAAGCTGTGTGATGTTGTGATAGTAGTTGGAGATCTCCTAATCAAAGCCCACAGACTGGTTCTTAGTTCATCATCTGACTATTTTGCAGCCATGTTTACCAGTGATGTGCTGGAGGCCACCCAAGAAGAAATAGTTATGAAGGAAGTTGACCCAGAGTCATTGCATACCCTCATCAAATACATGTATCATGGTGAATTAGAGTTTTTTTATATTGAAATAATTCATTTCTTTATTTGTGCATTAAGTCATTCATACATCAATCTATCCATGCATGCATCCATTCAATTATTCATTCATCATTCATTCGTTCAGGTAGTTTAGACATTCGAGAAGAAACAGTAGAAAATCTCTTATGCACTGCTTGTTTATTGCAGGTTTTTTAATTTCCTCCGCATTCATTCCATTCATTCATCCATTCATTCCATCCATTCATTCATTTATTCATTCATTCATTCATTCATTCGTTTTTCCATTCACTCACTTATTTATCCATCCTTCCATTCATTCATTAATTCATTCTAGTTATCAGGTGTGGTGAACGCCTGTTCGAACTTCCTCGAGAAACAACTGCACCCTTCAAACTGCATTGGCATCAGGCAGTTTGCTGACACAAGGGGCTGCAGTAACTTGTTCAGAGTCTCGAATGATTACGTCATCGTAAGTTTGATACGTTATTCATTTTATTTTGAATGTTTGTAACTGATTTTGGATTTTGTTTGTCGGGGCTGCTGAAATGCAGGACATAAAGTTTTTACGAAATTTTTTAAATTAGGAGAACTTTGAGAAGATCATAAACAATCAAGAGTTCGTGCACCTTCCTCCGGATGATCTCAGCCAGTTGTTGTCGGATGAAAATTTGAACGTGTCAGACGAAACTGTCGTCTTCCACGCTCTTGTCCACTGGGCCAACCATGATGTCCAGGCAAGGAAACATGCACTTGGAAAGTTGCTGGCATGTGTTAAGTTGCCTCTGCTATCTCCACAGGTTTCTATGGTTTAGTTTGGATCCTTTTGTGATGTGCTATAAAACGAACGTATGTATTAGTTGAATGTTGTTCCGACGCATAGAACATGAAATGTAAACAAAATACTCAACAACTACTACTACCATCACCAACAAAAACATCGTCTAAAAATGCAACTAACACCAGCCAACCTACCAACCAACCTACCAACCAACCAACCAACCAACCCAACCAACCATCCAACCAACCAACCAACCATCCAACCAACCAACCAACCAACCAACCGACCAACCAACCATCCAACCAACCCAACCATCCAACCAACCAACCATCCGACCAACCAACCAATCAACACCAGTTTCTGGCCGACCACGTGGAGATGAACCGACTCTTCAAAGATGACCCCGTATGCCAGGAATTGATATTCGAAGCCATGAAGTACCACCTGCTGCCAGAGAGAAGGGTGGCCATGCAAAGTTCAAGAACGAAACCTCGAAAATCTACAGTTGGCACTTTGTATGCTGTTGGCGGAATGGATTGTTCTAGAGGTTTCTGCTCTTTTTTTTATATATCTTCTTCTTTTTCTCTTCTTCTTCTTCTTTTTCTTCTTCTTCTCCTTCTTCTTATTACAGTTGCATCCCTCTCTCTCTCTCTCTCTTTCTACCCAGGTGCCATCAGCATAGAGAAGTACGACCTTCGAACAGATACGTGGGTTGAGTTTGCCAACATGAACGGCCGGCGTCTGCAGTTCGGGCTGGCCATAATAGATGATTGTCTGTACGTGGTTGGGGGGAGAGATGGCCTCAAAACGTTGGACATCGTCGAGTGCTTCGATCCCGTCAGGAAGACATGGTCCCTGGTCATGCCGATGGGGACGCACAGGCACGGATTGGGTAGGTACCGTTGGTACCGTTGGTACCATTGTTTCATTTCTACCTATCGCAAATCAGCCTCACATTAAGAGGCAAGTTAATAAATGAGACGAACATCCCAACCCGCGAACCAGGTGTGGCAGTATTGGAAGGGCCGATGTATGCAGTGGGCGGGCACGATGGGTGGTCCTACCTGAATACCGTTGAGAGGTGGGACCCCCAAGCCAAACAATGGTGCTACGTCGCTTCCATGTCCACACAGAGAAGTACTGTCGGAGTGGCTGTCCTCGCCAACAAGTTAGATGGAATTACCGTCTGTGTGTGTCTGTGTGTGTTTGTTTGTGTGTGTTTATGTGTGTGTGGTTGGTTTCTCTTGTATGAAGTTGTTACCTCCACGAAGTAGTTAATTTGATAAAGTTAATGGATCTATTTACTCGCCACGAAAGATTATATGCAGTCGGTGGCAGAGATGGCAGTAGCTGTTTGAGGTCAGTTGAAAGTTTCGACCCACACACAAACAAATGGACCCTCTGCTCCCCCATGAGCAAAAGGAGAGGGGGTGTTGGTGTGGCCGCCTGTAATGGCTTCCTCTATGCTGTTGGTGGGCACGATGCACCTGCCAGCAACCCCAAGTCCAGTAGATTTGATTGTGTCGAAAGGTTAATTTAGTATAATCAGTTAGGGCATCGACCATTTCAACGGCCAATCAATGGATCATTCGATCAATTATTCAACTACTCAGGTACGACCCGAAAACTGACCAGTGGACTTTGGTGGCCCCTATAAGCTCGCCCAGAGATACGGTGGCAGTCTGTTTGTTGGGTGACAAGTTGTTTGCAGTCGGCGGTTTTGACGGCCAGCAATACCTCACCGATGTCGAAAGTTATGACCCTCAGCTCAACATCTGGACTACGGTCTGTGACTTTTCAAAAATTTTTCATTTTTCACATGTGGTTATTTCACGCTTGAAACTTACATTTGTAAATTTCTCTTGGCAGTTTAACAAAATTTTTAACAATTCTCAAACTCGTTAACTCTCAAATCACACATAACCCACCGGTACATTTTTAACCAACTTTCTTTTACTTTCCAACTTTAACCAAACCACCACCACCTCACGACACTCGCCAAACAGGTGAAGCCGCTCTGCACGGGGCGAGCAGGGGCTTGCGTGGTCCACCCTACGAACAAAACCTCCCCGAAACCCCCTCTTGTAATAGGTGGTCACACGTGCGTCAGCTGACTAGATGTGGCTCCGGAGAGGAGGGCATGGGCCGGTAACGAATATCGCAGTGGAAATAATTGTAGTAGGACCAGTAGTAACAGTTTCGTTGATAGAAGAAATAATATTATAAATAATAATATAAGTAATAATAATAATAATAATATAAATAATAATAATAATAATATAAATAATAATATAAATCGTATTAATAATAAATTGTTTGAGGGATCGAGCGGTTACGTTGCTGGTAATTTGGATGATGACGGACTCCTAGATTTTTCAGTTTGGTGCCCCTGCTACATTGAACTGAGTGACGATTGTGAAGACGGTAAAGTTGCCGGAAGTAGTTGTAATAATAATAATAATAATAATAATAATGGCGACAACAGGTGCTTATTAAATGAGGTTGCTCGCTTTTACGATGATGGCTTTAGGCAATACAACTACATTGGTAAGAGCGGATGTCTGAACTGTCAAACTCTTCGGAATAATAGTAATAATAACTTAAACAACAACAATAATAATAACAACAATTGTAGGTGCAGTAGTAGCGTAACTGACAACGACAACAACAGTAATAATAATAATAACGCCAACTGTCTCTACTGTAACGACGACGACGACTACGATGAAGATGGTTTGAGAAAAATGTACAGAGATGCTCAGACTAGTACGGAGCTGGATAGCCTGATGGATCAGACGCTGTTCAAAGGATTCAGTAACAGGTGGTTGGTTATGAGGAGCGTTAGTAACAGTAAAGTGGAGAGGCATATTTCAAGGTTGAGTATTGGAGCTATCCTTAATGATGATGCTGCTGCTGCTGCTACTACTACTACTACTACTACGGTTATTAGCAACAATACAAACTCTAATGTTAATAATGTTAGTCATTGCGGTTCCATTGATGTTGATGGAAAGGTTGACGATGTTAGAGTTTCAACTTTAAAGAGCAGTGAAAGTGATGTCTGCAGTGGTAGTAGTAGCAGCTTCCTCGTTCCTCATGCCGCAGATAGGAAAAGTACTTCAGAGAAACAAGTCGCCAGTATTAAAAATAAACTTTGCCACTCGGTGTGTGCCGAGTGTGGCCAGTCTGCAGGCTGCAAATGTTTTCTTAACAATAGCGCCGGAAATTTCGGCTCAGAAAGTGGAGGTGTGAATTTCAAATTAATCTCACATGATCCAGTAGCAGCAGCAGCCAGTGATGTCTTGTCCAGTTTGAAACCGGTTCTCGCTTCTTCATCTTCCCAATTGAAAGGTAATCTCTCAGTTAATATGCGCGAGACTCTGGCGAATGAAAATAATTTGAGAACTACGAGTGTCGTTCAGAATTTGAACGGTGGTTGTCACGTTGCGTTTGAACTCGGTAAGTTGCATTCCACTACAAATTTGGAAGGTTCCGATCAGTTTGACTGCTACAGCGAGGCTAACAATTCGAAAAGTTTCAAAAACACACTCAGTCTTTCGCTTTTCAATTGCTTGGAATGTAAGAGCGGCAACATGGTCGGCGATGTGAAATCAGTTTCCTCCTTTAGCCACAACAACTCTCTCCACGTCAAAGTGGACGCCAGCAAGTACTGCTTGCCGTTCAAGCAGCCGCTGTACCATCTGCCAGGCTGGAGTGATGCGAGTCTTTACAAGCCTGCTACCTCGTCCAACAATCACTCCATGTTCAATCCGGGCTTTCAGAGCATCACGCCACCCGACGAAGGACATTCATGCACTCCCTTCTTCAAACCTCCTAGACCGCTTCTGCATAGCGAGCGACCCTTCTTCTCAGTTTCAAATGAAAACTTTCAAAAGATTACAAACTCCCACAAGTCGGGCGTCAGCAGTACGAAAAATAATTCATCATCAAGTACTTCGTCGCCAACGTTTTTGTACAAATCAAAATTATCATCCGCGTTGAACGGGCCATCCGTAGATGAAATCAACATCTCAGATAACTCTAGTCAGATGGAGCAAACGTCAGCGACCAGCATCTGCTCGAACACGACGCAGTACAAATCGAAGATAGAGAGGGAGGTGTACAGACAGGGGCAACCTAGGAGGGGGCAGGCCGCCAACAGATCCTCCTGGGCCGCATCCACTTGCGCCACACCCCTTCCACCACCTCCGCCACCTCCTAAAATTAATTCATCTTCGTACTTCATGGAGTTTGCGCCATCTGTCAAGCAGTGGTGTCAGAAGTTTCCAGATCCTAAGAAGTTTCCAGATTCAAAGAGCAGCAACTCAGCAGCAGCATCAGCGAAGAAGTGCATGGTCACTTCCATTCAGAAGAGGCCCTTCTCTGACAACTTGAAACTCTCAACTGAACTTCTCGATAGGGAAAAGTTTCAACAAACGAAAGAGGAAAAAACTGAGAATTCATTCTCCAAATTTTTGAATTCATTTTCTGAAAGATCAAAAATGCCAACAGAGTTGCATGAGACTGAAAAAAGATCATCATCCGGTAGGTACTCGGATGAAAATTTTTACTGGGAACTCGAATGTGTGAAGAACGCCAGGAAATCCAACCAAGAAAAATTATCGAATGGTAACAAATCAAAAATTAATAACTCGAAAAGTTTCTCGAGTTTCATCAACAAAAGTCAGAAAAAGCAGTCCCTGGATGTTGTAGCTCACAGTTCTGACGACTGCCTACTGAGTTCAGCGTTGGCAGCTAGCGATACAGCAGCAGCGGCAGTAGCAGCAGTGGATGAAAAAGCGGTTACCACAAATTTGAACGAAGCACCGTTCATCAGTCTACAACAGCCACCTCAAAATCTGCCAGTTTCAGTTTGTCAGCCACCGAAAGTCACAACAACCTCAGGCGATAACACATCATCCAGACATAATATCGTCGTTCTTGGAAGAGACAAACCAGACATTCCAGAAAAACCTAAGTTATTTTTAGAACAATTACGTCATCATCAGCAAAAACAACAACAACAACATCAACAACAACAACAACTACAGCATATAAAACAAAGATGTCCGACTCCGCCGAAGTTACTCTCTCCCGCCCAACTGGACAAAGTGTCAATCAAAGATATCATTTGAATGATATTAAACACAATTTTCTCTCAAATTTGATATCCAATTACGTTTTTACTCTCTCTCTCTCTCTCTCTCTCTCTCTCTCTCTCTCTCTCTCTCTTTCTCTCTCTCTCTCTCTTTCACGCACACACGCACACGCACATTTCGTAACTATTATTCTGCACGGTCACTTCTGAATTACAAAAAAAAAAAAATTAAATCAATATGGCGCATATTACATTTTCAATAAACTTTTTTGTAACAATTATAAATGTTGTAATGCTGTCTATCTCTCTTTACCATTCATTTCTGTTTGTATGTATAATCTAATATGCATTGAAATTTACCTATTGATTCTATTGATTATTACGTAACGCATTCCTTTGTGTGTGTGTGTGTGTCTGTGTGTGTGGTGTGTGTGTGTGTGTGTGTGTGTGTGTGTGTGTGTGTGTGTGTGTGTGTGTGTAATATCGTCACTATCATCATCTTCTTCGTCATCATCGTTATCTCTTCATCATCACCATCATCATCATAGTCATCGTCATCACCATCATGTAGGTATTGCATTATATAGCTACTAAACAATTTTTAAATAGTTGCTATATATTTTATCTGGTTTATCGATGTTTTATTCATTCATTCATACATTCATTCATTTATTTATTTATTCATTCATTCATTCATTTCATTCGGTCATTCATTCATTAGGAGTTGTTAATTATGTGTGTGTTTGTGTATGATTTAGCTTGATGTTATATGGTATTGTATTATATTGTATTGTATTGTAATGTAATGTAATGTATTGTATTTCGATTTTTATTTGGTTTTTTGTTCTATTTTGATTTTAAAATATTTTTTATGTGAAATTTCATATGAATAATTTTAATAATAATAGACGGGTTGAAATTAAACAATTTCCTTCGCATATGTTCACAAGGTTTCGTTGATGGTTTTGTCGTTGTTATTAATGCTAAAATGTTGTGATTATGTTTTCAATGTAAATATAATTATCATAATTTAATAATAATAATAATTATTATTATTATTATTGTTGTTGTTGTTGTTCCAACATATTATTATTATCTATATAAAAAAAAACCCCATTCGATCAATATCGTTATGGCAACTCGAGATTAAAACATTAAATGAAACCGGAGTACTGGGTGTATGTATGTTTATGTGTATGTATGTTTGCATGCATGTATGTATGTATGCATGTAGTATGTATGTATGTATGTATGTTTGAGTGTATGTTTGTTTGTATGCATATCCTATTTATATAGCGGCTCATGCCTAAGATCGGCTGCTTCAAAATATCTTTCATCTTGTCGGCATATTTATTATAAGAACATACAATAATTAATAATAGCAAGAATAATAGTTATAATAATATTTATTATAGTTGAAAATAATTGTTTTATTGACTTAATTATTTAAATTTAAGCACATTTTTTTGTACCGTATCTCTGGGATTGCTACATACAAAGTTAGTGCCGGTCTTTTTAAATTACCTTCTGAAACTTAGAAAAATGTAATGCCCGTACATACCTTTAACACACACACACGCACACAAATAAACATTCTTACATATACACACGTATAAATTAATTGCTAAAAATTCATTCCCGTTATGTATAATACTATTTTAATTATTAAATAAATTTGTATTTATTTATGCTTTCAAATAGAATTTAATTGAAATTTTGAAATACAAATATTCAGATCAGCAAAAATGGCGTCTAAAAAAGAAAATCCGACCAGACGAGCCAACACTAGAAGTGCTTCAAAGGGTCACCAAGGCATCAAAGTCACCATAACAACAGCAGAGAAAAAACTTCTACAAAATCTAACTCACTTCTACAAAAGGTCCCTTATGGATAAAAATAAAAAAAATATGGTGCTCCTGGATAGATTTAAATCTTTCAGACCTATTTCCTCTTCCGGTAGATTGGAGTCACTGTCAACTTATAAAAATCAAGCGTTAGATGATGAGTTTCGCAATGACAAAATATACCGGCCTAAAACGTCTGGCTTGGCGGGGAAAAATCTGAATGACGTAACAGGGATGGGTGAGGGAAGACGAATGACAGTGACAGGAAATGAGACGAGCTCGGTTATGAATCGAATCGTGAATTTCAATAAAATCGACAAATATGTGTGTCGGTACACTGGACAGAAGGTATGGGATTTGATATTTATGATGTGCCATTTCAAAGTTTTATAATTTAAATTTTTCACTCTAGATCGAGGAAATGATAACATTGAACGTGCTGGAGTCGATGAAGAATTTGTTTGAAGAGAGGAAGAAAGATTGTGGCGTTGATTTGAAGGAATTCGTGAGGATTATGAAAGAGGCCTTGAATAACGACAGCTTGAAGGCACGTCACACCATTCCTTTTACAACAGACAACAACACAAACAACCACACAGACAACAACAACACAAAACATCACACAAACAACAACACAAACAACAACAACAACATAACCAACACAACAGACATCCGACTTCAAAGCCCTGTTCACAAAGATGGACTGCTTCTCCCAGAACCACGTATCGTGGGACGACATTTGTACGTACATGCAGCTCATATACTCTCACAACTCCGACTCCATCAAGAAGAAGAAACTCGTCACTTTCAATCTTCCAGCTAAATCTACGTTGTCTCCACACAGAGATACCGTAGTCAGAATCGCCGAAATGAGTAAAAGTGAATTTGATCTAAAAACTAAAGGCGGCCAGTTCGCCTGTTGCAGCAAGGATGGTTATGTTAGTTTCTGGTCATCTGCAGGTCCAAAAGTGAAGAAAATTAGTCGGATTTTTGTGAGAAAATGTTTTTTTTTTCGAAGTTTTCGTTTCAATTAAATTAATTTAATCAATATACATACATTATATTAATAATTTTTAACCATTCAATATAATTAATTTAATCAAAATAAATTAATTAAACGTTTATTCTTGTAGCCCAGTGGTTCTCAAAAACAGAAATGGGCCACAGACTTTGCTATCTTGTCACAGTTTAATAAGATCGTCGTCTCAACAGGGTGGCTGAAAATTCAAATTACGATTTATCCATCTATCCATTCATTCATCCATCCATCCATCCATTCATTTATTCATTCTTTCATTCTCTCAGAGATAGAGAGATCCAGTTTTACGAACTTTCATCTTTAGAACCTTATTGCCAACTAACTGAGTTTGAAACAGTTCCATTACAGATGGACTGCTGGTTGGTTGGCGGGTTGCTTGATTGGTCATTTGGTTGACTGAATAGTTGGATGGTTGATTGGTCAGTTGGTTGGTTGATTGGCCAGTTGGTTGATCGGTTGGTCAGTTGGTTGGTTGATTGGTCAGTTGGTTGGCCAGTTGGTTGATCGGTTGGTCAGTTGGTTGGTTGATTGGTCAGTTGGTTGGCCAGTTGGTTGATCGGTTGGTCAGTTGGTTGGTTGATTGGTCAGTTGGTTGATCGTCATCGTCATAGTCATCATCGACTTTTTCTTATCACCTCCGTTGGGATACATATATACGTATGCAGACAATGCAATATACAAACACACATACATAAATTCATACACACACACACACACGCATACACACACACACACAAACATACAGTTGTACAGGCACAGATTCCTGTATCATTTCATTCGGCGATACGGAAGGTTGCATTAATACGATCATCATGTCCTCTGTTGGAGAAGCTTTAAGGTAATGCTGCTTCTACTGCTGCTGCTACTACTACTGCTGCTGTTGCAGCCACTACCGCTGCTGTTGCTGCTGCTGCTACTGATGATGATGATGGTGTAATACCGATTAATTAATTAGCCAAGTATTAAATTATTAATTATTTTGTCTTGAATGCAATCATTTTGCCAGAACTCTAAGAAGGAGTTATACGTACGTAATAATAATAATAATAATAATAATAATAATAATAACAATGGATCATCACATTACGTCATCACCGTCACATGATCACATTATAACTCTTGGAATATTATCACCTTATTAATTAGCATTATCTTCACTCACATTTTCGGTTACATCACCATCTTGCTCTATTTCTGCTTACGCATCATTCTGCTCTGTTATTATTGATTTTTAATATAATTAAATTTAATTGTTGTTATTAATTATTATTGTTACACGGTTTTTCAAGGTGATAATTTAGACATGCTTCAAGCAGAAAACCATCCATACCTTCAAATTTATAAATCCATTTCTGAACTTTAAACTTTGAACTTTCATCTAAACTCCATTTCGATATAAAACTTTGACTTAGATCCTGGAAAAAAAGAAATAAAGACAATGGAATTTCCAGCGTCCCAATTAATCAGGCCGTGGGAAAAACCCAGATCCAGTTTCATAGATGGCGCGCTCACCTAGATTGGGTTCAACAAGTATGCAATTTTTTCATTTGTTAGTTTTTATCATTCGTTCATTCATTCATTTATTCATTCGTTCATTCATTCATTCGTTTATTCATTCGTTCGCTCGTTTATTCATTCATTCGTTCGTTCGTTCTCTATTCAAACTACGTTATAAACGAGAATATCACTCCGATATTACGAATAGATTAAATACAGCGTGGAACTGAAGCAGATGATGTCCTGCTCTGAGAATGAGAAGACTGCCTTCGTTATATGTAAGCATTGTTTTTTTTTGTTTTATCTACTACCACTACTACCACCACCACCACCACTACTACTTCTACTACTACTACTACTACTACTACTACTACTACTACTACTACTACTACTACTACAAATAATATTAATAATAAAATTAGTAAAATAATAATAACCCTTTCCAAAAGGTAGTTTGGATTTCACAAGTCAGCAGCTTTTAAGACTAGGTGGACAGCTGCTATCCCCTAAAGCAACCAGTAACAATACTACTACTACTACTACTACTACTACCACCACTACTACCACTACTACTACCACTACTACTAATAATACTACCGTGGCTGCTGTGGCTAACACAACAACTACTACCACCAGAGATGGTAAAAATTTCACTAGTAGAAAATCTGCGAGGAAAAACACGTCGGAAAAGTCATCCACGAAACTGAACATGACGTCATTTTTTAACGAGAACTCGACCTACTTCCTGGTTTTCAAAGGGGTCAAGTGCTTCCACGCGTCAGAGTTAAGTAACGTCATTGTTACTGGAGGTAATAATTATTATTATTATTTATATTATTATTATTATTATAGTTATAATAAATAATACTATTATTATTATTGTTGTTGTTAATGATGATGACGAGCTGTTGTTATAAAATTCTTTTATTTTTCAATGCTTCCCTTGACATATCAACCATAGTAATAATAATAGCAATAATAATAAAAATAATAATAATAATAAGGTATGGACAAACAAGTCCGAATATGGAACCCATATTCACCTCAGAAGGCGTCGGCCATTTTGAAAGGTCACGAGTCACCTGTGACCTTTGTTTGCATCGCCGATAGAGAGGGCAAGATATACAGCGTCTCTACTGATAAGTCTATATTTGTATGTATGTTTGTTTGTTTGTTTTCGTGTATGTATGTTTTGTATTTATATTCGTGTATGTATGTTTTGTATTTATATTCGTGTATGTATGTTTTGTATTTGTTTGCGTGTATGCGTGTATGTATGTTTTGTATTTTTCGAAGGTGTGGGATTTGCTTGACCACACATGGTTGTTGTCGTGCCGGCCAAAGAGTCACATGATACAAGGTCAACTACAGGTCAGGCGGGGTCATTCTATTTATAGATTGGTGCTATTTTTAGATTATTCTATTTTTAGATGACGACTGCGTGGTATTGGTTTTTTATTTCCAGGTGTGCAATTATTTGCTGAAGAGTAGAAGTTTCATATTTGCTACCGAGTCTATGAGCGTTGTTCAGCAGAAATTCAGGTCTGTCCGTCTGTCTGTCTGTCTGATGTCTATTGTCTGTTTTTTCTTGAGAAAAATGAATGAATGAATGAATTAATTAATTAATTAATTAATTAATTAGTATTTGATTGGCTGTGTGCAGGTGGGAAAAGAGCGCGAATGTGACATCACACAAGGAACCAGTGCACGCTTTTGTGTACAACAAGGCGTACAAACAAGTCATTAGTGCCTGCCGTCATTCGGTAAGCATTGTTAGAAGTATCTCATTATCATTTTTACTGTTATTGTAACAATTATTTCATCATTATGTTAATGAGGTGAAGGTCTGGTAATTATTTTCATCATTATGTTAATGAGGTAAATGTCTGGTAATTATTTTCACCATTATGTTAATGAGGTGAAGGTCTGGTAATTATTTTCACCATTATGTTAATGAGGTGAAGGTCTGGTAATTATTTTCACCAATATGTTAATGAGGTGAAGGTCTGGTAATTATTTTCATAATTATGTTAATGAGGTGAAGGTCTGGTAATTATTTTCACCATTATGTTAATGAGGTGAAGGTCTGGTAATTATTTTCACCATTATGTTAATGAGGTGAAGGTCTGGTAATTATTTTCACCATTATGTTAATGAGGTGAAGGTCTGGTAATTATTTTCACCATTATGCTAATGAGGTGAAGGTCTGGTAATTATTTTTATAATTATGTTAATGAGGTGAAGGTCTGGTAATTATTTTCACCATTATGTTAATGAGGTGAAGGTCTGGTAATTATTTTCACCAATATGTTAATGAGGTGAAGGTCTGGTAATTATTTTCATAATTATGTTAATGAGGTGAAGGTCTGGTACGTGTATACAGGGCGCTTGTTGTTCCAATTCGACGGCGCCCACGACAAGCAGGTCGTATCTTGCATGTCATTGGACAGTGCTTCCAGAAGGTTAGTGTCATTCTGACCAATGACATCATTTCTTCCATTTGTGAATACAATATTTTACTAATCTGATGTCTTAATATTTTACTAATCTGATGGTTGGTTAATGAATGATTATTCGAACGGATGAGTGAATGAATGAAAAAATTGAATGAATAAACGAACGAATGAATGAACGAATGAACGAACGAACGAACGAACAGATTGTTCACGGGAAGTAGAGATGGGTTGATTAAGATGTGGAACTTTAACAACGGTCAACTCCTGAGAACGCTGACACCTGGTGGCTTTTTTTTCTAAAATATCTCATTTTTTACTTTTCAATATATTAAAATATACCTGTTAGATAATAATTTATGGATATTTTATCATTTTTTAAGATAATTTTTTTTTTAAATTTCGAACTCAATTCAATTTTTCAGCTTCGAAGAAAAATAACCCAGAGATAACAGACGTTAAACACGTCGTTTTGAATAAAAATAAGTTAGATCTATCATTCATTCCTGCATTCATTTAATCATTTATTCTATCATTTGTTCATTTATTCATTCTCTCAATCATTCAATCAATCACAGATATATAATTGGCGTTGGTTGGAGCAGACGTATCAACATTTATTCAGATGACGTTGATTCGGCCAACAAGCAAACACAGTCGCCTCTTCCTTATTGGCCTGAAGATGTTGTAAGTTTCATTCATTCATTCATTCATTCATTCATTCATTCATTCATTCATTCATTCATTTATTCATTCATTCATTCATTCATTCATTCATTCATTCGTTCGTTCGTTCGTTCAATCGTTCGTTCGTTCATTCATTCATTCATTCATTCATTCGTCATAATTAAAACCATAATTAAAATTATTCTCACACCCAACTAGAAAAGCGGCCACAAGTCTGATATAGCGAGCCTGACGTACTGCAAACACTGCAAACTGCTCGTGACCTCCGACTTCGACAACAACATCATCCTCTGGAATTTCGTCTCTGGACACAAAATCGCCAGTCTAATCGTCCCAACTTGGGCCAATTTTGAAGGGGATGTTGTCGGCGAAAGTTCAAATTGTAGGGTGTTTGATAAAAAAAATTTTGATGGTCGTGATGGTGAAATGAATAGCAGTGGAAAGATTAACGCGAGTTTTGATGGAAAAGATGGTGAAGAAGATTGTAGAAAAGTCGGGGGTGCAAAAATTAATAGCGGTGGTGGTCGTGAGAATAGTGGCCACCGTTCTGAAACTTCTGCTGCTGCTGCTGCTGTTGCTGATGAAACCAGTGAGAAAAATTATTAAAATTTGAGATTCCGATTTGATAAAAAAAATTGACAAAACGCAGTTGCTAAAGTTTTGTTCCTAAAGAGAAACTGCACTCAGCATCCGGACAAGTTTAACCTCTTGACGTTGGGCAAGTTGGGCAGAGTTCATATGTGGAAAGTTCAGAAGGGTCAATATCGCTGGGTCACCAGCTTCAATGCTGTCAGTTTTTTGACGTGTGTTTGTGTCTTTTTTCAGTCTTTAGTAGCGAAATTGCCACTAAATAAATAATATTATCAATTCAGGTTGGTTCTTCTAGCTCGGCCTCTTTAGTTGCATTGGCGACAAATTCAACCAATCATGTTGCAGTATTTGGTGATAGCGAGGGTTATACTAGCCTGTGGAATATCAAGGAAACAGTTCCTATTGGTTGGTTTTTTTAATGATGGACAGATGGACGAGCGAGTAAAAGATTGAATGAAGACATGTAGGTGGGTGAATAAGTGAGTGGATAGATAAATGAATGAATGAATAAATGAATGAATAAAAAAAATAAAAGAATTAAAGATTATTTTAAAATTCATTTCATCTTTGTAAGAAATTTCAAGATGGCGGTCCCACGTCTCACAAGTAACTTGCCTTCAGATAGTTGATGGGACCCTGAACGATGATGACGACGACGTCGATGTTTTCGGCTGTGGTGGTGGTTGTGGTGGTAGAAACACCAACAACAACAAAGACGATGGTGGTAGTGATGGTACTCGCAATTTCAATACTAGTGATGATGATGGTGGTGACGCTTACGATGATGATGATGATGATAAAATAATTGATGACGTCATTAATGAGATGAATCAGGACATTAAAAACAACAATAACAACAAAGACATCAACAATCACAACAACAACAACAATGACGACGACGACGATGATGATGACAATAATACTTATTACAACTTTAACGACAACAACATCAACAGAAACATCAACATAAAAAATAGAACCAGCGCTAAACTCCTTGAAAAAACCCCAAGAAATAAACTCAGAAATAATAAAATCCACAGCAATAACAACCACAACAACAACAATAACAACAAAAACAACAACAATAATAATAATAATAACGAGGATGATGACGATGTCAGTAACGTATTCATCATCTCGTCATCTCTGGACTGCAATGTTAGGCTCTGGAATTACCTCGGTCACTACATCGGTCAGTTTATTATTATCATTATTACTATTATTATTATTATTATCATTATTATTATTATTATCATTATTACTATTATTATTATTATTATTATCATTATTACTATTATTATTATTATTATCATTATTATTATTATCATTATTACTATTATTATTATTATTATTATCATTATTACTATTATTATTATTCGTCATCATCGTTACCAGGAACATTCGGTCAGCAGAGCGAGTGGATGTTGTACAGCGAGGGATCGTACACACACCCACACACGCCCATGGACCTCCTAACCGGCTACACCACAACGACGTCAGCATCACGTGACCTTGCTCGTCGTCGTCATCATCATCATCATTGTCGTCAAAATTCCTATGATGATGGTGATGCTGATGATGATGATTGCGATGATAGTAATGATGATAATGATGAAGAAGAAGAAGAAGAAAAAGAAGAAGCGTTTAATGATGACGAAGTTGAAAATAAGCATAGAACGGATAAAGATATTAAAAAACAAAGACATCTCAAAGACGATAATGATGATGTCGTTTCGACCAAGGATAGAACTCAGCTCTCAAAACAGGTATTTACGTATATAATATATATTTACACGCACACACACGCACGCGCACACACACGCACACATGTACAGAAGAAACTGGACATAAATGAATATATGAACATGGTATCACAAGAGCCAGATTTCATTGCGGGCATTGGAAAGAGGTTCGCTATCATTTTAAATATTACGTATAATAATAATTTTCTGTAATAATATTTAAATATTTATTGCATTTTATTTTTGATTTTTATTGATTTATACCGAAATGAATGAACGAACGAACGAATGCATGAATTAATTAATTAATTAATTAATTAATTAACTAGTGAATTAAATAATAATTAAAAAACCAAGTCAGTAAACGAATGAGCAAACAAATGCTCCAATACCCAACACGCAGATTAAGGTACGAAAGGACAAAGCCAAAACCGCTGGGCACTGGCGGTCCAAACGTGTACCATCACCTTAAAATACACGACATACAAGATGTCAAGGTGCTAGAACCGCCCGTGATGCTGAAGAAGACAAAAAATCATCACGCTACTACATTCCTCGCCGAACTGGCTAAATATTAATTGTATTATCTCTCAATTTAAACAATTTTGGATATTAATATTATTCAATTTGATTCAAAAAATTTGTTATTCTGTAAAATACATTAGCAGGGAGACCCGATGTTCTCACTTGTTGGGCCACCCTATCAAGATATAGCAAGCAAGAGCATGAAGAAAAGGAAAACTTGATGTAATAAGCCTGACGAAACTTAGATTGAACAAAACGAATAATGAAAATCTCGAAAAACAGAAACTGCAGTAGTTAAATAGTATAAAATGATCGTTCAAAATTAACTTATAGACAAATTCAGAACGAATGGTCTGTATTTTTATTGTTGATAGCTACACAAATGAAAAATAGTTTCAACAGGGTTTTTTTGTTTTTTTTTTTTAAATACAAATCTTAGCACTAAGCGTTATTGGAAATACATAACACACACAGACACACACACAGACACACATACATACACACACACACACACATAGAGACACACACACACATTCGGACAGTTACACGTATCTATACTCGACAGTGATGGCAAATGTTTCTTCATTTTTATCATCCTCATCGTTTATGAGAACTAAAATTTTTGTTTTGAATCTTTTCCTGGCGCTTAAAAATTTCAAACCAATTTGACCTTGCTGGCCGGGGTCAAGGTTCAATTGGTGCTGCTTGAACCGGATCAGATCGGGTCTGGTGGTTCGCAGGAAAAAGGTCTTTCTGATCTGAATGTGAATATTTTTTAAATTATGTTCATTTTTTCACTTATAAAATTTTCGAATATAAAATTATTTTAATTTTTTAATAATTATTTGTAAATTTTCTTAAAAAATTTAAAAAATTTTTAATTGATACAAAATTTGAATAAAATTCTCACGAAACTGACCCCGTACGGATTGGTGAATGAAATTCTCTTGCTCTCTCCTGCTCCGCCAATAGGAATCGTCATTTCAAAATGCTTGCTTATGATTGGCTCCCTGCTGACCACCTGAATCATCCAGCCGTTCACTAATTGGTGGGCTTCGACGTCAACGACATTGATTGACATCGTGGCCACGCCAACTTTTAATGGACGTACGCCGACGTTGATTTGTTGGAGATTGCCAGCCAGTAGCATAAAAGGCTCGTCGGGTGAGAGAGACATGAGGTCAGGGTGAGAGGGGTAACAGCGAACCAATCGCGATGAGAGCCCACCCCTTGTACGAAAGTTATGAGAAGGTCATTTAAACGATCAAATCGCTAGCAGCAGTGGCGCCGTGAAAACTACAGCGACAACAACAAATACTGCTGCTACATAAAATCAGCACAGTAGCTACAAAAAAGCCGCCACACCAACCTCAACATCAGAGCGAATCTTGAGGTCTGTCCCTGAATGGCAGCTACGTCAATTTTCTCCATGACCTTCAACTCCACCCTCCAGATGTTGAAAGGTCTCGAAAGGTACGCGTCGTTGTAAAGGGCTAGGAAGAAGATTTTTAATTGAGGAGCTTGTCCACAAGCTACCTGTGTGTGTGTGTGCGTGTGTGTGTATGCGTGCGTATGTGTGTGCGTGTGTGTGTGTTGTATAAAACGTACCTTAACAAAGACATCAACATCCTCGCCAAGGTCCACGGAACTGTTACAATGACAGATGATATTTGGATCTGAAGACCTCACGTACATGTTTCTGGATGTACCTGTGTGTGTGTGTTTGTGTCTGTTTGTGTCTGTATGTGTGTCTGTGTGTTGAATCAAGCAGCCAATCAATCAACCCCAAACAACCAACCAGCCAATCAATCAACCCCAAACAACCAACCAGCCAATCAATCAACCCCAAACAACCAACCAATCAAGCAACCAACCAATCAGTAAACTTCTAGGCAGTCTGAAAGTCTTCTTAAAAAATGACTGCTCAGGGTGCATGACCCTAAAAGTTTGGTCGACTACGTGTGGCTGCTGCTCTACTAATAAATTTAGCGCCGATACAATTTTCAGTTCTCTACAGCACCTGAAATACACCTGAAAATATGGGGACGATCCTTTATTCAGCAATGGAACCAATGAAAATGGCAGTACAGATAAAATGAAATGATGAAATAAAACAAAATGTCAAATTCTATAAGTAGAGTATTAATCTGCGAAGCTCATGATTCGAATCGAGTCGAAAGTACGACCAGAGTTAATTAGTTTTAAACTTGATTCATCATAATTATAATAATAATTATAATAATATTATACGAAATAATAATTATAATAATATTATACGAAATAATAATTATAATAATATTATACGAAATAATAATTATTATTATTCGTCGATATTTTTATTACTTCTATTGTCCTAGAACTTGATTCATTCTCGATTCTTCTCTTCTTTCTTTCACTCAAATTATTATCATTACCACCGGCATACTTGCCGCCATTTTGTCCGCCATTTTGTTCGCCATTTTGTCCGCAATTTTTATCCCCAATTTCGTGATTGTCATTTTTAAATTCAACGAATGACATTTTAGCGAAGGACAAGTTGCTCTCTGCTGCTGTCGGGGAGTTTGTGCCTCTAATATGCCTGAATGTTAAAAACTTGAAGGGTACGTACACACACTCTTTGGGTCTTAAGAAGATTTTTAATGTTGATTCGCTGGAAGAGTTGATTGCATTGTTGTTGTTGTTGCTGTTGTTGTTATTGTTGTTGATGTTGTTGTTGTTTGATGTTATAGATGCAAACATGCCTTCTTCTAATGGAGTCGTGAGGTTGTTGATGAGTTTGAAGTGGTGCCATTCAGAAGCGTTCGTTATTACGCTGTTGTTGTTTGTTGTTGTTTGTTTGTTGTTGTTTGTTTGTTGTTGTTTGTTTGTTGTTGTTGTTTGTTGTTATGTTGATGTAATGTAACGTTGTGTATTGTTATATCACTGCTACACGTGTTCTTATACAATGCAGTTAAACAAAAACAACAACAACAACAACAACAACATCAGCATCAACAACAACAGCAACAACAACAAACAACAACAACAAACAACAACGCAAACCTCAGTTCGGAATCATTGTAATCAACGCCGACCAGCAGTTCAACATCTGCGTAAGGATTCGTCAGTGGAAACTCGAAGAAGCCAGTACTACCCAGGCTGACGTTCAACCTCGCGTCAACTGTCACGTGCTTCCGGAGTAGATCTTTGATAGTTGCTGGTTTGTAGTTCTTCCTGTAGAGGTCCACTGTCTCCAGGTTCCTACGTTTCGCGTCTGCATCAGATCGGAAGGACTGTTGCAATGAAAGGTGTGTGTGTGTGTGTGTGTGTGTGGTGTGCGCGTACGTGTATGTATGAAAGGTGTGTATGTTTGTGTTTCTTGTCTTGAAGCATCTATCTGAGAAATAAACACTTAAGAAAGAATTGTTAAAAAATTATGTTAATGAATAATGATACAAATGATAATAAGCAGCACTAACCACAAATGAGTTGATGATCTTGGCAGCTCGCTCTTCGGACTTACTTTCAAGCAGTTCTTTCCTTATAGCTTCCATCCTTTCCAACTTCCTCAGCTGCTCAGCCGACGTAGCTTGGTTCAGAAAGTAGCTGTCGTTGCTAGCTGCTTCATTCAAGCTGCTTCGACTGGCTATCAGCTGCAGTAGCTCGTAGCTCAAGTCTGGTAGTCGACTTGCCCTGCTTTTCTTTTCTGTGTGTGTGGTCGGGTGTGGCCGTGTGTGGTCGGAGATAGGATTGGTCGTATTAATTCTAAAAATTTTAAACACAGACATATTTATAATTTTCTTCAATTCTGAAGGACAATTGAACGATGCTACCTTTCAGAATGTTATGCAGCGCTGATTGGCTCTTGTTGACATTCAAGTTCGAAAGCTGCATGGGATCTTGGGGGGAGAGAGAATTTAAAAATATTTAACTCAGTCACATTTTCAGTTACATGATATCTCAAAAAACGAAAAAGAAATGAAAAATCATCATCAACAACAACAACAACGACAACAACAACAAGCGCGACAACAACAAACCCAGTCTTTCCCTATCACTGCCAGCCATTACGCCACCATTGTTAGCCGCAACTACAACTCCCATCTTCATCTTCTTCATCTTCATCGCATCATCATCATCCATCTTTCTCCCGATATTAGCAACTCTTAAGTGCAGTTTCCCTCTTATTTTTGTACTAGCATCAACTGCTTTCATTACACGATCTTTGGTAACTGCGGAAAACAATATGGCGTCCTGTATGGCCACTTCCGGTTCGATGTATTCCGTGTGGTAGACGTCCAATTCGTGTGTCGATTGGACAGATGGACGGGTCTGTCTTAGTAAGCACTGATGATGATGATGGTGGTGGTGGTAATGATGATGATAATGATGATGATGATGATGATGGTGATAATGACGTTGCTGATGACGATTATGATGAGAATGAAGACGATGAGATTACTAACTTTAAGCTCCAGTAAGCAAGAGCCAACATGAAATAGCGAATCACCATTCCAGACATCAATCTGCATATGGTGGCCGTAGAGATATTTGAAAAATTCTTGACCTCTGCCCTGACCCAGATACGAGGAATCAACTACAAATTTGACCTAGTTTTTGGTATTATATATAAATATATATTATTATTATTATTATAAGAAAACTTGTATTAATATATATATATATATATATATATATATATATATTATGTGTGTGTGTGTGTGTGTATGTGTGTGTGTGTGAATGCGTAACCTGATAGCCTGGCGGTCCCTTAGATACAATGGACCCACCATCATTTTGTTCCACCCTCGAGATAATAAATGGTACGTCCCAAGCCACGTCCGATAGCTGGCCATCCATCGCTTGTAACATCACTCTATTATTATTATTATTATTATTACCATCATTATTTTTATTATTATTACCATTATTATTATTATTATTATTATTATTATTATTATTATTATTATTATTATTATTATTATTATTATTATTATTATTGATAATAAACAACAATAATAACATTAATAATAATAATAAAATAATTACTCTACCTCTCAGTAGTAAGAACGTCAAATCTGTAGAACTGGAAGCTGAACAATAGTGACGGTGGCCTGCGTGTGGCGATGCTGCTACCACCGCTGCTGCTGCTGTCCAATTCGTCTGGGATGTCGGTGCTGATGATGATGGTAGTGATGATGGTGATGACGATGATGATGATACATGAAAATAATAATATGGGGTATAAAATGAATGAAAGGAAATAGAAATTATACAGAAACTGACCAAGTGTAGGCCATGAACTGGAAAATTATTTCATTCATTTTCAATCCATCCTCGTTCTCTCTCTCTACCAGCACGTCATTCAGATTGTAGGGGTCCAAAACGAAACTGGGTTTTCCCCAGATATCCAAAATAGCTGGAAATCCCAGAGTGGACAGCTGGGCAGCTGCCGCTCTCGACAAGCTGCTCCCCGTAGCTGTCGACCTGGATGGCAAGGATAATTATAATTATGATGTGAACGAACGAACGAACGAATGAACAAACAATAAATAAGCAAACCTTAAAAACAAGCAAACGAACGAGCAAACAAACAAACGAACGAACGAACGAACGAGCAAACACCTCTTAGTTCCAGGGACAACGGCCACAATGGGGACAGGGTGTGACATGTGAGGTATTTCCTTCAATACGTCATCATCATCATCATCTCTTCTTTGTTGTTGTTGTACGGTAGTAGTAGTAGTTGTTGCAATTGGTTGTAGGAATGTTTCAATCATCTCATCACCATCGTCATCACCATATCTTCAACATATTATCAATTCGTTTAATATTACAGTTTGAAAAAATGAACTGATACATAACCTACCTATCGTAAGTTGCATCGTCTCGAATTCGAACACGTTGTCGTTGTTGTTGTTGTTGTTGATGTAATTGTTGTTGTAGAAACTTCCTTTTTTGTTCTTCTTTTTGTAGCGCAATTTTTTCTTTTTCTAGCTGAAGTTTTTGCTGCTTCAACTCTTGCATGCGTTCGAAGTCGTAGTCTTCTACCTCCTCGTCCTTATTTAGTTTTTTGTTTAGAGGTTTTGGCGATTCATTCATTCGTTCGTTCGTTCGTTCATTCGTTCATTTATTCATTCATTCACTCACTCACTCACTCACTCACTCACTCACTCACTCACTCATTCATTCACTCATTCATTCATCCACTAACTTCTCCGGTGAATCTCAGCACAAAACTCAGCCTACCTCTTCCATCACCCACACTTTCGGAATTTTTTGACGGTTTCTTCTTGCTAGCACTCCCACCCCCACCCCCATCATCATCATCAACATCTACTTTATTATTGCCATCATTATCTGCCGAGTAATTTTTCTTACTATCATCACCACTACCACCATCATCATCATTATTATTAACAGCAACTATGACGTCATCAAAAGTCGGCACGTGATTGGAATACGACAGGAGACCCAGGGGGTTGATTTTTGGACCCCCAATCAATTTCAAGTTGTGCTCCCCCGGTGTTATGTACTCCCGACCCGTCCCATTCAACACCCCCCACCTCACCATAATCTCCATCACCGAGTGAGCCATTGACGACTGTGGATGAATGATTGATGGATGGATGGATGGATGGATGGATGGATGGATGGATGGATGGATGGATGGATGGATATAATGGGAAACTCAAACATCCACCCCACTAACTAATTTGCTCTTGGTCGGGGCCACGTCATCGTCAACTTTGGCGGTCTTTTTATTTTTGGCGCCCCGCACGTACCTCGGAACGGACATTTCGTACACCAGGCAGAAGACCAATCGGAACAAAGGATCTCTCATCACGTGACTGATCTCGACCTTGTTGTTGTGCACCAGGGTCACGACCTTGGCCTTTTGATTCTTTGAACTATCCGACCTTGAACCCTGACTGATAAAGGTATTAGTGACGTCAATGATAATTGCTAACAACGACAACAACAACAACGACAACAACAACTACTACAACAACAATCAATGCTAACAGAACGGCTGAAGCAACAGAGAAGAGATTTCTTTGACTGGTCTTGAAGGAACTTGGCTTTGACAATGACCTCGCAATGACGTCATCGTTGAAGGCCAGTTGAACTTCCTCCAGAGGTCCGACAAACGTCTGGCCGCTGTGCGCTCCTATCTGTTTGATTCATAGGTGGTGTGATTTCATTGTTGACAAGCAAGCGAGTGATTGACGGATGGGCTGCTAAATGAATGAACAAACAAAAGGTGAAAAATTGTATGAATGAATGAACAAATGAATTAATTAATTAATGTAATTAACGATTAACGAAAAGAAATATAATAAAATCGAGGAATGCATTGATAGATATAAACAAACTAATGTTAATATGATGGAAAAACATACCTATCTTCTAACCAGCCAATCAATCAACCAGCCAATCAAACAACCAGCCAATCAATCAATTACCCAGTCAATCAATCAACCAACCAATCAATCAATCACCCAGCCAATCAATCAATCAATCACCCAGCCAATCAATCAATCACCCAGCCAATCAATCAATCAGCCAGGTCAATCAATCAACCAGCCAATCAATCAATCACCCAGCCAATCAATCACCCAGCCAATCAATCACCCAGCCAATCAATCAATCAACCAGTCAAA